ATCGAAGATGTTTTGGTAAATTCCAACTTTCTAGACTTTCAATTTATGTCTGTTTCTGGGCAAATCAATCCACAGTCAAGTCATGGCTCTGGGGAGCCCACTCATTGATGTATAAAGACAACTGGATACAGCGTTGGGGGCAGGGCCCCATTCACTCCTATGAGAGTTGCTCGGTGGCGCATGAAGCAAAAGAAAGTTTGCCTTCATTGTACTATCGGTGCATTTTACGATTTGTACAACCTAGTGATTTAAGTAAGGGTTTTTCAAATGGGAACTATTAAAACTGGGAAGTTAATTTACAAAAAAAAATTCACTCAGTTACAGACGTCTCTTTCCCAATGTAAGTTTATTGGAAAAAGTATTTTAGGGCCCAATGGCATCACTTGAAGGACCCGGAAGTTGTGATTCCATGGTTTGGCTATTATGTAAAATTTGCTGAAAACTCCCCCCCACACACACACAATACCACCTCTGTAACCAGGGGGCATTTGTGACGTTCAGCAGCATGAAAAATGACTTGCCCCCGTGGCGCACCGGGGGTGGCAGTGATTATAATATCCAGATAATCATTTCAAACAAATTATCATAATTATCAATCAATCATGAGCCTATTTAAGCGGGGGGAGGGATGGGGGAGTGTAGTGCTGTTGGCAGGGGGTAAACTATGGCCTGGAGCACTGGATCACTTCTGTGACCCATGAGCCTCCCTCTGTCCACATAATAGCCCTCATACATTAAGGGTCATTTAGCTAGCATATTTAGAGATTCAATTCCATTCAATATGGGGGGAAAAAAGACATTCACACACAACTAGGTGCACACACACACACACACACACGTCAACTCACAACTGCAGCTGACCCCCATTTGGCTCCCTCGTCTTTCAACACGGAGTGGAACAAAATCTACTTATAGGTCAGAGTTCATATGAACCCCTCTCTCCATTTTCAAATCATGCAGCGTCTAAAACATTTACTGCATATGTTGCATCACAAACATTGAATGCTAGAGTTTGACTTAAAAGCACATCTCTGTGGAGAAAAGAAAAACAGACACAAATCACTATCTGGAAATCATCAGGGCTAAAGAGAAATATGTTAGGCAAGCATGTCCACCTTCACTCAGACAAATAAGAGAGGAAGAGTGACACAGGCGGAGTAACAGAGACTTGATCGTCTTAAAGAGATATTCCGCTGTATCTTTTCACAGTAAATCCCCTGTGAAAAGCAGCATGAATTGATTCAATCGCAGTGGTATTGAGAGGTGAATGAATGGGGCTTGGAGAGCGAGAGAGACGGAGAAATTGAGAGAGACAGAGGAGATAGAAGGAGAGAGAGAGATGGATAGTAGCCTTCGGGGGAGATGATCGTCTTGGGAAAAAAGCAATCAGTGCTCATTGATTTTTTCAGCTGGTTGAATGGAGGGTGTCTATCTGGAAGTCATTATCTGCCATCTGATCTGCTGGAGTGTTTACACACGTCAGGATGGACAGCGGCGCTCCTCTGAAGATGAGGATTAACACACACACACACACACACACACACACACACACACACACACACAGTGCAAAGACTGCCTTTTCACCCCCTGCTCCCTATCTGGCTACCACTTTTAAATCCAAGGAATCCAAAAAGAAACACAAGTGCCTCCGATACCCTATCAACTTCCACATGCACACACACACACACACACACACACACTCACACAGACTTAAGTATATGTGCAGTGTGTGAATGAATAACATACGTAAGCAGGGCCTAGACAGCTAAACAGACAGATAGTCCCGATTTGTATGGTCGGACCGGGCCGAACTAAACAATCCTTGATCCTACCATCAATAGCCACTGATAGCAATCTATAGCTCCAACAACACCATAGCGTCTGCTGAGAGAGAGTAGGGGATGAAATGAGTGGAAGAGGATGGATGAAGTAAGCAGAGAGGGAATTCCGATAACACATCTTTTCATTTTCTGCCTGTGGGTGGGGTGCGAAGATGCAAGGTGTAAGCCAATATGGCTCGATCCATATCTAAGCAAGCGCTGGATATGAATCCAAGGCCTTAAACCTCTCACACAGACACACAGACACACACACACACACACACACACACAGCTGTAAGCTCTGGGCAGCTTTCAGTAAGTGGACTGGAGAAGCTACAATAACATTTTTGCTTCCGTTTTATCCCTTGCATTAACCCCGACTCTACCAGTGCCCCCCACATGCCTTTTTTCAGACTGACTCAGTAACGTGGAATGAACCTGTGTTTGTGGTCAGTTTGAATGTGTCAATGTGTGTATTATTGAGATTGTAGTGGGTTATGTAGATATAAATAAATATAATTGTCTTCTTATTAAGACATATGTCTTTCGTAGATAATATCCAGATTTTTCTTGTATTTTTTTATTTTACTTTTATGTTATTATTTCATTCATGAGTACAGAGTTTATCTGTAACACAGTATTTGTTTACTTATTATTAAGTTAAGCAACACTACGTCCACTAAACAATCTGTCTTTGGAGTACCAAATACTTATCTTGTGTCAAACACAGGGTTTGTGTACGGCAGTGGTATAAGTTATGAAGTTGGCACGTATTGATGAGGTTACTAAATATTCCATGACTTATGAAATATCTGCGTCAGGGCCTCGCGCTTCTGGAATTCATTTAAACAGAGAGAGAAGCCTAAAGTTAGCCCTCTTTATGTCTTCCAGTGCTCACACATCTCATTTCATTTATTAATCCATCCATGTACCTTGCCTGTTTTGTACAGGAGTTATCAGCCTGCCTTTATAGAAATAACCTGTGACCATAGTGGTTGCAATATAGTTCACATTGACTTGACAATGTGCACTGTACCGATACTTCCCTCTATATAAAATATATCTAACATATAAAAACACAACAACAGGTCTGTTTTTCTGTAACGTAAAGTGCGGCAACAAATAAAAAATAGTAACACTCGCAGTCATGCAAACACACACACACACACCTTTCAGCAGTTAACGAGTTTATTCACAAGCTACAACTCAATTAGCATTCTGCCTTAATCAAGCATAGCGATGTTAATGGCATGGTGGAGAAAGGAGAAGTCAATGTTTAAGTGCGTGTGCCCATGCCCTGTGTGTGTGTGTGTGTGTGAGTGACTGCACGATGTGGATGAATGAGTCATGTCATAAGGAATGGCTCATGCATAATTTCATTCATATTCATAACAGGCATGTGGTCTGCCACCGCCCGATGAGGGCCCACCGCGACTCACACTCTGCATAATGAGATGTGGCCAGTGTGTGTGTGTGTGTGTGTGTGTTTGGGTTTTATGTACCGTAGGTAAGCATACTGTATGTCTGTATTCTGCATCTGTGTGAGCCCGAGAGTGTGTGTTGCGCATGACGCTCCTATCAGTGCATGTATGTGTGTATGCGCGTCTTTGCACTTCTGAGTGTGTGAATGTGTGTGCGTGCAGAGTGGAGTGCACGGGCCACTCTTATGTGAAAGGCGGTGAGGTAGTTTATGAATCCGTCGAGGTTTTTCCACATTGTACGAACATGTGGGAAACAGGGACCAGCCCAAACCACCTGCGGTCAACTCTTAAAATAAGCTCATTGACTAATGTAGGATTTCAAATCAACCAAGCAGTCTGTGATTTGCATGCCTGCCTGTTTATAGAGGGAACAGCAACAAGACCCTTGACCTGAAATGCAAATGAGGACATGTACGTTATTTGGTTTTTCCAAGGGCCACACTGGTCATAGTTGTGAAATGCGCCAAAAGAGATTTTAGGGGAAATACGTCTTGCTAAGGCTGCTCATGAGGAGTCTACTCTCACACACTGCATTTATTAAGGGGAGCTGGATTATGTATTGAAAAATAGTCCACCATTAGTTCTGCTGTTGATGTTTTGACCGTCATGTCATGTGCGATAAGACAAAAGGCCCATGCAAACTTTGCAGACAAATTCCACATCTCAGTTTCAATTTCTTTGACAACTAAATCCACGATAACGCCACTCATGTGACATAATGAATGTTTAAGCTCAGTTCTGTCAACCAACATTAATCGAAGTCCACATTACAATTGTAAACATATGTTTTTGCAACTAAAGTTTTTTTTTTTTTTTTTAAACAATGCCAATAGTGGGTTTGGGAGTAGTTTGAATTCTGGTGTCATATACTGCAAATATGGATTGTTCTTCTAATCTGATAAAACCGCATATAATTTACTGCCGTCCCATTTTTAATCATTGATTCGGGCTTCAACTATCCTGCCATTGACTTGACTGGGAGCAGCGGCAGCATGGCTTCAGTCACTCTCAGAAAGAGTGCCTCTGCTGCAGCCATTGTTCTTTCATGGACCATTAGATGGACATGAACTCTCTCGCTGTCCTGCCTTGACCTGGCGACACTGGACGTAAAAGCAAACTGCCCAGCCTCTTCAATCAATTTATCACCTCATAAAGTGGTCAGTGACTGGTCAATGGGATGTGTCGGTCACAGTGTGTGTGCATGTGTCAGTGTTTTTGTGTGAGTGAAGAGAGACTTTCTAAGTTACTGAAAATGCCAATGAACGCTTAAAAAAAGGATGATTTACCCATTCAAGCCTTTGTATGCTCTGCTGATAATCTCAGATAATGTAATTATAATAAAAATATTCATGATAATTAAATATACTGTATATCATAATAATATAGCTGTTAAAAAATTGCACAAATCAAAGCTGCAGCTGGACGCGCTTGTACGGACATAATTAGTGTGTATAAGCAGAGCCAGAGGAGTTGAGAGGAAACTTTGTTACATTGTCTTACAAACGCAGACATACAAACGTAGAATAGACGTCTCTCTACTTGTTATGCTTGCTATAAACTGCCACTTAAATCACTTCACCCTCACAATTACTTTCCGTACCTTTGATGTTAAGACAAATCCAGCATGACATTTGTCATACAGGGCATGGGTACAGAGACGGGATTCATAAAATAGAAACAACGGGTGTAACTATCCTACCTTTTTGATGCAGCTGTCAGGGGAGTCTTCGTCATGGTCGTTCATCATCTGCTGAGAAAACACAAAGAAGATGTACATTGGTAAAGCGCCTAATGGTACCAAAAACCCACACAGTTTTTTCAAAACTCAAGAAGAACAATAAACCAGGCAACAATATTTGATTTGATTGAGAAGAAAAATCTTTTTTATTGAAGAATGAAAAGAGAAGAGAAGATTGATTCCTGTGCTTGACAGGGACTCGGCCATGGGTTGACGACATGAGCACAGGGTGTTCACAGTTCATCACACAGACCCTCTGGGCTACAAATGTGACCAGAGGGATATAATAATGGACTGAGGGGTCACAAAAACACACACAGAAGCAAAAATAACACTACAAACACACACACTCTGATGAATGAATGCCCCACAGATTTTAATTCTCCGCTTCAGCGTTGCAGGAAATTTCGCTGAGACCATGTCTGTGAGTGTGTGTGTGTGTGTGTGTGTGTGTATAATTAAGCCTTCAAGCAATATTTACTGGGGGCAGATGGGTGGTAGAATGCTCCCAGTGTCTGCCAGAGGAAATGAAGGAAGTGGGGGAATGATGAAGAGATGGGGCTGCCCTGCCTCAATGAAGGGGAATTTCACATATAATGGCAACCCAGAGTCTCTCTCCGTCTCTCTGTCTCTTTCTCTCCCTCTCTGAAGCCCATTGATGGCAACTGAGGATCAAAGAAGCGATGCAGACTGTTTTCAGAGCAGTTTTAGGTGGGGTGGGGGATCAGCGTGTTACTTACCGAGTTTAAGTGAAATTAGGCCTATAAAACTTCCCCAGCACAGACTCCCTATCCTCCCCATCTGCCCTTTCACAGTAGGTGTGTTGTTGGGGTGTTCTGACAAGACTGGCTGCCTTTACATTAGAGCTGACGTATTGAAGTTTGTATTTCCTCAACCAGCATGGCCCACCGTGATTGGCAAAGAGACATTTATCTGCTGTGGAATCTGCCATGGAAACTGTGGAGCCATTCTTTCAATTCTGGCATACAGCAACGTCTTTTATGCCACTTTCTATACAAGGCCTCAATTCACCGGAGGTGATTATGAATTGTGTGTATGAGCCGGTGGAAGTGTGCACTCACATGTGCCTCTAGATAAAGGTGTCCATACTGTAAGTTTCTCTGTGAGACTATTTATTCCCCAGGAAATTAGAAAAACAGTTATCTCAACAGGAGTTCACTCTCAACTCTTCTTTCTCTCCTCTCACTAAACAGTGAACCAGATGGGCTATATGTGCACCGGCGTGCCGTACGAAGTGGTTTCCTACATTAAGCTGTCAAGGGATCTGTTTCTCAGCCTCAGCAAATGGGAGCAATTACACCACAGATACTTACAACAGTGTTCTCAGCCTACTTACACATCATCTAAACCTTTACAGAAGCATCCTGTTCCTGAAATCAGTTCCAAACAACGCAACAACAACAGATGCCTTGTCCCTCACGGCCAATTAAATTTGTCACATCATTTTGACCGGTAACTGTAGCGCCCCTATTTTGAAAATGTGCACCCTTTCAAAATAGGGCGCGACAGTTACTGGTCAAAACGATAAGTGGTGAGGTGCAGTTTCATTAAAGTTTCATTAAAATCAGACCATGATGAATGATCAGATGAATAAACAAAGCCAAGGAGCCTGGTCAGCCTTTTCTCAGTTGTTATGACACTCTTTGAAAATGTATAGTACATCGTAGTGTGTGTTCATGTTTGTGTTAATTTTTTTACTTATCTCCTTTGTGGATTACATAGTACAACCCTTCAAAGTTACATCTGTGTGTCAGAGCCAAAGGGGTTTCAGCAGGATGACAAATTAAGTTAATCTGTAAGTAAAAATGTGCTTGTAAACTTCAAACATGGCGATAGAGAGAGTGAGAGAGAGTTAAAGAGAGAGAGAGAGAGAGAGAGAGAGAGAGAGAGAGAGAGAGAGAGAAGAGGACTTCCCCTTTATTTTAATGCACAGGACCAGCTGTAACAGTTTACAAAACCAACAGCTTGGCTGAGTCGTCTAAAATGCTACCAGGCGTTCAACAACTATAGGACGGTTTCTGGACTTTCCCCCTGCTCTGTTCAGCTACATGCCAAGTGTAAATATGCGTGTGTATCAAATTTTGCAAGAGTAACCTAAACTGTAGAAGACATACAAGTAGACATGAGTGGTTTTCTGATGCCTTAATGTCTTTCAGCTTCAGGTGGGGGGTCGGCAGGGTGTGGGCTTTCTATCGTCCAAACCTCAGTTTTTGGTACAGAACCGCTGAGCTGACTGTCAGGAAAGTGCTAATTATAAAGCTTCCTGGCTTTACATTCTATGCAATTGTAATCCAAATTGCTATTGTCTGTTAAAAAGTTACCCAATGACTTTTTTAATTTTTATTTTAAAACGATCGGGGTTTCCACTGGCGAAAAAAAGGCTTGTCTGATGATGACAATAACAACACAGAGGCAGGTGGAGATGCTCTTTCAACACTGGCATACTGTATTGCTTGCACACACACACACACACCTACCAGACAAAAACACACAAAATAGCATAGCCTTGCAGCAAGACCCCGCCAAGCAAATAAATAAGCTATTAATTAGGGAAGGAAAATGTGATTGGCCACTGACTGGCGGCACTATGATTTATTGCACGTGTCACAGTCATCTCAAAGTGACTTTTACTCTGGGTCGGTGAGACAGGTCCAAATAGAGACTGGCCTATTTTGAGAGGGATAGATTTTCCACTACACAGAGAGAGGTAAAATTGTCCATTTGTTCTGTATCTACCCTGCAGAATGCTGACATGTCAATATGTCTTATGAAAAAGAGAAAACACTGGAGCGAGGGTAATTAGAAAGTGTGTGCAAGTGTGTGAGTCTGGGCACACAAACTTCTCTCTCTGGCCCATATGACCTCAAACATAAACAAATTCAGTCGTGGCTTGATGAAAGTGCAGCCACCTGCAGAATCCTTCCACCGAGAGCTGTCCAGACCCTCATTAGGGGTGAGTGTAAATGTGTGTGTTTGTGTAAGTGTGAGTGTATATCTCACTATGTCCGTGAAGTGTGCTTTCACACTAGGCAGGAGGGAAAACCCCACCATTATTAGTGTTTCATAGCACAGCTTTTGTTATTGGACAGAGTCAGGAGTTTTTCAACACCACCAACAGCACCATTCGTATTGACATGCCATGATGACCTAGCGGACAAAGAAAACAAGACATGGGGAGAGACACTCAGAGAGTGGACTGCCTCATTGTTTTCACAAGACCTGTCACGGCCTGAAGCACATGACGGAGCAGGATCCTGCTCAGTTTATTTCCAGATTCTCATTTAACATGAAAAAAACAGCAGAAATGGCCCTAAAAGGGTTTTTTTTGTATAGGGACCCATGAGGTATATGTGGTGGTTTTGCATGTACAGCTCAAGTCAAACCTTCATAGAATGACCCATGCATCATGACTTATAATCACAACAATGAGAGGGCTAAGTAGCCATAGCAACTAGAGGAAGACCTCAGAAAGCTTGCTCCTCATCATCATCCTGAGGCACGAGGAGAAGAAGAAGAGGGCCCCACGTAGGAAAATGTTAGCTTTCTGTCGCCAAAAACAATTCTCCTCAACTCTGGATAATATGAGGCAATACAGCAACACGGCTCAATGGATGGCTGCGGATGTCATAAAGCCGCAAGTTTCCAAAAAGAACGAGCAGCAAACAAACCTCAGTGCTTTTTGAACCAGGGCCCTGACTGACAACCCATTGGCTGCAACAGCCACACCAAGAAAGCCACAAATTGAAAGTTTTGCTACGCATTTATTGGGAACTTTTGCAGCTTCTTGGCACGTTGACAGGGTTTCATTGTGGTGGCAATGCCATGGACGGGTTATTGATGTTTTTGACGTATAGATGGGAGAGGTAGCGGTCTTTCACTGTGGGTCGTGTTGAATAATAAACTGCAGAGAAAGTGTATTTGTGTCAGCGAGAAAGGAAGAAAAAAAGAAAGAAAAATGAAAGGGGAGGCTCTGTTTCTCATTGCTGGAGCCTTTAAAATAGGAGCTAACCATCACGTCAAACATGATTTCAACAAATGGATCTGACTCCTCTGACTTCCAGATACTGGCAAATCTGATCGGAACACTTTACAATCAATGAAACAGCACTACTCCAAAAAAGGAAGAAAAATAACTGAGGCTATCAAGTCTCCAGTGTTTTTCTCTGAGGTCTCTTGCTATCATTTGAACACCCTGATAACGAACCTTTTACACGTTCCTGCCAGAGTCAGAGATTGTTTGACTAAGGATACAAGTCTGATTCAGTCTGCTTTTTAGCATTAACTTAAATGGTGCCTGGTTGTAGTTCCAAGTCCTTTCTCATGGCTTGTCCTTTAAAAGGGAGTAAAATGTGGCTATTTCGAGGCTTCCCACAGATAGGGGCCTTGACAGCTAACCCAAAACAAGACCAGAGCTATGACCTCTTAAAAACATGCCTCAACAATGAGGTTGCTCACTGAGCTTAAGTAGGGAGGCGGGGAGACCAAGCCAGGAGACGAGGACACAGGGTAGAACTTTGCGCTGCTAAATACCAGGAAACTGGGCGTCCATCAGATAAAATATATTCATGATGACTTTAATGAGCAGAAGACTTGAGGTGCTTTGGCCAAGGCAAACATCAATGGGAGTGCTGAAAGGACATGTTCTCTCTTTTGCTCCCTCTCTTTCACTGTGTTGGTTGATTGAAAAGGTAATTATGAGTATAATCACTGTTTGATGCCTTATCTCTATCTACATATTGCTGCAAAGCTTAATGTGAGAAAATTATACACTTCATTGGTAAAGGCAAAATAAACTGATGCCAAAGGAATGCATGAGATGCCATTGTCTGAAAGAAAGAGGAGAGATCAGATTAGCTTGACACTTATCACACCACGCGAAAAGCCAACACTGTTACCCAACCCTACATCTAGATGGGTCTATGCAGGGTGCGGCCTGTGACGGAACTGAGAACTGTTGGTGAGATAGGGCTTAGCGCACAAAGCTTAGATTT